ACTGTTTGACAGTCTGGTCGACTTTTAAAAAAATTTTCCATTTGTTTATAATTATATTCTAGTTGTCGTTAATTACATCTCGAAATTCACTCGCATCAACTATTACTTATAAACGACCTTTATTCTGTTCATTATCCATTACGTTCTTCAAACATGACAAAGCGTGTTTTAAAGCTCTTCTTATTATATGGCAGAGAACATTGAAATTTCAAGATATATATATTTCCACTTATTCACTTTATTAAAAAATATATATGTGTATACATAATTTTAATTGTGTAGATTTGGGTCAGAATTATTTATGCGGACATACTAGTACAAAGTTATATTAAAATGCACCGTATAATACAATTCATCTTTGTACTTGTCATGAAAACAATATATGTTAATATATTAATAATCAACATTCTTTCCGATCTATCTTTCTAGCGAAATCTTATTCTGTCATCCGATAAACTATACATGTATATGACAATGCATTTATAATTTTTACATAATTATTCTACATAATGGAATATTTGTTATTCTACATCACTGTTCTACTCTCAAGTTTCTTGACAAACAAGTTAAAGTAGATAGGAAAGAATCGTTATAGTGCAAGCCACTCAATTCTATTGCTTCCAATATAAGTGTCAAATTATTGTTTGTTTGGAACATTATACGAAAATAGAGCGCAATAAGCCGGCAATTGGCGGGTCGAGGGGGGGGGGGGAGGGGAAGAAATAGAAAAAACGGCGATGTCAAGGAAGAAGTGAACGAGATCAGTAAACGAGGAGACACGCGAATGGACACGGTAGCTCTGCGTACGGTGCGCGATGGAACGGAGATCGGTTGTTAAAGAGTGAGGCAGAGCGAGGAAGCGAGTAGGCAACGGCGGCGGGAGATAGAAAAAGAGGGACTTGCGGGAGTCCGGAGGAGGGACGCGAGTCGACGGTGCGCGCGGAGGAGAGAGAAAGAGAGACGGAGAAACAAGAGCGGTAAAAATGAATCGATAGGCGGAGTTTTTCATGACGCGCCGCTAGAGGCGCTCCAGGTGGGGAGCGCAATAGGCGGAGTCAGGCTGATTTAGGGCCGCCATTTTGTGACAATGGACGAGAGGGGGTATGCCTATCTGATTGGCTGATCTACGGACTTCTCTCGTCCTGGACAAGCTTCTACAGATTGTTCGGTTGTACACACCGCCGGGTACTCCAGCCACCCGGCAACCCGGCAACGCCGCCACCCCACACCGTGGCTTCTCCTACCCCGTTACCGGTGATGTGGCTCTCTCTTCCCTCCCCTCCCCGCTGCTATATCATCGCGCGCGTATACCCGTATAAACGTACGTACCCGTGCGGCACATACACGGAGACAACACCGAGTCCCGATCGCGTAGCGGAGGAATCCTCGCGAAAAATTGCAAGCGTTTCGTATACAGCTCGCTCGCTCGCGCGCACGCTTTTATCTGCCATCAGAAAATGTTGATTGCAATATTTCGCTTCCGCTTAATCGAAGACGCGTTTGCCTCCATCTCCCTCGTTCTCGCGGGTCGAACGGACACTATCGCGTGATCTCCTTCGGGATTTTTAATTCGACAGAAACAGAGGAAGGAAAACGCGCGCGCGAAGGCGCTTTCAAGTGTCGATTATGCAACAGTCGCCTCGATGGTAGATTGATTAGATTCGCTGGTTAGCAATCGCCGAGATCTACACGACTCTTGCCTCACGATTGCGCTCTTGCGAAAAGCTGTTGAGCGTGTTGCCAAGAGCGCATTGTCGATTAAAACGCATTTCCCGAAACGGTTACAGCTTGTTTTTGTTCAAGAGATTCAAAGGATTACGTCCACTTTAGATTTAAATTTGTCCGATACTGAATTTCTCTTTATCTTACGCAGCAGTTTTACATTTGGCTCTTGCAGAACTCAATTTCCAATAGTTCCAATAGTAGCGTATTCCTCATCAAACTTACCAATTTCGTTTTCACTTCAAGAAATGTATGCATTTTCTAGTGACTTTTAGAGAGCTCGTTGTATTCCTCCCAAGATTTAGGCAATTAATATTTATCCGCGGTAATGCGTACAAACTGACGCCATTAAACAAATTCACTCGTCTATTCACTCGTCGCTAATCTAATTGTAAGATCAATAAGTGTGGAATCCAACGCTAATAGCGAGAATCCCGAGTTTTCGAACACGTATCGCGTATTATACCAATTATGTATCTGTAACGTGCTATCTCGGAAAAGCTCGAAGCCGCACAAAACGCGCCTAGCGTCGAGCATGCGATGTACACAAGAAGATTGTCGGTATCCGGCTACAATTAGTATAGAAGCGCTGCGAGAACAGCGGGCAGGCCAGAAAGTCTCGCCGCGCTATCGGATCGCACGACCTGGGCCAACCTGTAACACGGTAGATCGTCGTCGTCGCCGTCGTCATCGTCGTCGTCGCATCTCGCTCGGATTTCAGACTTCGGATTTCGAGGGGGGCGTGTGTATCTTAATCGCGGTATCTCATCTAGATAGGCCGCCGGCATCAAGATCGACGGCCCGCTCGCTCGTTCGCGCGCGCGACTTACACGTGTCGTGTATGCAATGTACACAGACGCCGAGACACGTGCGTGTGCGCGCGTGTATTGTGCGTATCGGGAATGTGTATGTATCTAGCCGGTAATCTTCGCACGTGGGGCACGTGGCTTGCGCGTCCGGGCCTCGTTTTCCTTGATCCGATCTAAATTCGGATCGGACGATCGCGTGGAGAAGGCGCGCGTCTCTCTTTCATCGTAGGAACCACACGGGGATTCCCAGCCACCTCGCGCGCCGATCCGACGGAATTATTCAGCATCTCGCCGGCTCGTGCTGCGATCTAGATAACCGGGTTTTACGCGATCGACCCCGATTCCCTTTCCGTCAAAAAGCGCGTCAACGGGTCGCGGCAAGGCCCTTCCGGAATGAATTACTTTTTTTTATACTCGAGTGACATATTAATTGTGAAAGGTTCTTTCCCTCTGCTTTTTATTTACGGGCGGATTTTTAACTTCCGCTTGATGAGAATATTAAAGGTAACGAGATTTTGAACGGCAAACGAGATTTAAATTGAGGCTTAAAGATATTCATATTGAGCCATCCTAATACGGAATTATTGCGTATCAAAATTGAAAAAGTTGCCATTGTGAAAAAGATGAGAGATTATCCGCGATAATTTCATTCGTCATTGCACTACGATGATACGTTAGATTCTCGATTGGCCGGCGCGTTGATAAATTGCCGACGTAAAATAGCATCGCTCGCGTTGCAGCTCGCAATATATTCAAAGTAGACTATAGAAATGTATCGTGCGTGTGCGTCCTGATGGAACGATTTGGCACTGTTGAGCCGCGGTATCTGCCAATCGGTGAGGACTGCATTAAATCCGCCTGGGAACATTGAATTTTCCACTCGCGCGCGGACGTCCCGCTGTGGACATTTCGAATCGCGTTCCGAAGCACTTCGATACCGTTGCTAGGTAGAACCGGCTATTTCCGGACTCGCGCAAATTACTTCTGTCAAAGGCTAGCAATTTGCTTATCCGTGTACGAATGCATTCCTTAAGCCAACAATACTATTTTTCCTACGATTGCTTACGAGAACCTTATTGGACGTAGAGTTTTAGATCAGTGGGTCAATTCTGTACACAGTTGGAAAATTTGTGTTTTCTTATTAAAAAAAAAACGCCGGTTAACACATTCATGTGTTAATTTAACATATTGCCCTCGTGTTAATTGACTTCAAATGTTAAATTATTAAAATAACTGAAAAGCAATGTTAAAGCAACAAAATGTGTACTTATTTTATAATCTGACACAATACGTTCTATATTATTAGTAACAAGATTTATCTGTTAAAATTTACAGAATAAAATGTTAATTTTATTCTATATGTATAACATATGAGTGAGAGTGATTTCGAACCGTCATTTGACTTATTACTGTAACATGTAAAAATTACATTTTTTAAAATTCATTTTGTCATTAAAAGTACGTTAATTTTACACAACATTTATTTCAAATTATTGTGAGATTTGCATTTATTTTGTGTTAAAATATTAACAGAGTATTAGTGTGATATCTGTCAGGTCAGGTTTAACACAAATGTTTCAACTGCGTATCTTACACTGTAGTGAAAATGCTGAAAGTGAGTAGCTTTACCTCTTTAAAATTGTCGCCTGATAAAGAGACAAAATCGCTCACTTTTAATATTTTCACTGTATTGTAAGATTGATCCCCGGGTGACTTAAAGGCTAAATCCTGATTGGCTCTCGTAAGCAATCCAGTAGGAAAAATAGTATCGTGTGCCGTTCGCATTATTTACGAATTGACTTCGATAATCAGTGCAAGTCGTGTGACTCGTCCGTACGTTTTTCTCCCGAGTGAAGGCGCTCCTCAAGCAACGCTCGTAGACACCTACAGATTTACTCCTTCGTAAACCGGTACGGACAAGATAAATGACCGAAGTGGACTCGATGCTCGAAAGAAATTACGCCTAAGCTAAGCGGGCACCGCCTTCCCTCATGAATATTCAGCTGGCCAATAGAAATCCGTCCCGCGGACGGCGACGGCCTAAAAATTTCAACCAACATCATCGATCGTCGTCCCGCGTCCCCATCTACCGCCGTCTTCGACTCTCGATGGGTCAGTATCCGTCATTACTGTCGTGTCTACGCTACTAATTTTACGAAAGCGCGAGACACTTGTCCCTTCGCCGTTCTCTCGCATATTCTCGTCAACGGCGTTGACAGCGGCGGCAATAACATCGTCGCCGGAGGAGCGGTACGGCCGCTGGCGTAAGTGCACACGGGTGAGTGGAGTGCACGTCTCTTCGTCGGAGCAGAGGGGGGGAGAGGGCAGTTACGCCCCTCTGGTAGGTTGGGCTCGCGGCCTGGTGGGCGGAGTCACGGGCGGCCGAGCGGCGCCGAGCGGCGCCGAGTGGCGCCGAGCGCGTGGGTACGTGGGGGCTTGAGCAGCGCGGTCTTTTCATCGCTTAGTTTCGTGTCGGTTGCCACGATAGTCGCATCGAGTCGAGTTCGCGCGCGCGCGCGTGCGTTTTTTGAGAAAAAAAGGAAGGGAAAAACTCCGAGAGCGAGAGAGAGAGAGACTCTACGGCCGCACCTTGCCTGTTCGATAAGACGAACGCGCGACGGAGAAGACCGCGAGGAGGATGGACCAGTAGGCGAATTTTGTGACGGAAGGCGGAGTACGAGACCGGGTGTGCGACGAGTTCACGCGCCAAAGTTCCATCTCGCGTACGCGAGGGAACGTTCGTCGGTCCTCGTTCTCCAAGAGACAGAAGGGGAAGCGAAAGGGAGGAACGGCAGGAAGAATCAACGAAAGTCGATCAATCTGCTTTGTCGCCCCCCTCTCTCTCCGCCCGCCCACTCGCTCGCACGCTCGCTCATCCGCCCGTCGAGCAGGACTCCCACGGACGCCACAATGTGCTGTGTGTGTGATGTACGGTGCAGTGTGTTGGTGCTAACTTAGTGATAACGATATCCCCTCCTCCGCCGCGCGTCTGTACGTCCGCGGGACCTACAGCGAGCTAGTCGTCCTGTTATCTCGTCCGGGGATTGCCGCGAGATAAGGTAAGAGCAGACAGCGTCGACGATCGTGGTCGCTTTGATTATCCGCGTTGATTGTTTCGCGACGGGGGGCACCGCGCGCCGTAGCGCGGCGCAAATACCGCGCGAACCGCCGCTGGCCTGGCCTTTATCGAATCCACCCCGCCGAGTCGCTTTTCCGATCTTTCGCGCAAAGCGCCAGGACCGAATCGGACTAGCAATTGTTGGCTCGGATCGAATTGGAATTGGCGGTGGACGATTGTCCTAATGAAGGCAGAGCGGCCAGTAATCGGCTCTCATTGGCTAGAAGAGAATCGTTGATCGCCAATCCCAACCGAATCCGAGTCAGCGATTGCTAGTCTGCTTCGGCCTTTGCCCGCCGTATGTCGTAATCATGATTGAATATACCTGATTATAATTGACAATCGTAAGTCACAATCGTAATTGAATGTACCTGATTACAATTCACGCAACAACTCTCACTGCCCAATTGTTATTCTTAGACTTTTTAACGAGGAGGATGGGAGAGAGAATTATAACAATCGTCACAGGCTCTGGTCTACGATACGTGGTGTAAACTTAAGTCAACGGCACACAATACTATTTCTTCTACTGGATTGCTTACGAGAGCTAATAAGGATGCAGAGTCTTAGATTAGATGACTTAACCAAGGTAGAGGAGTATAAGTCACCAGTGATGAATAAAAATTGAAACAAAGCTTCTAGTTGACGCAGCTGGCAATGTAATTAATTAAATGTTACATTGGTACGGCGTTTCGATCCAAGTATCAGGTCCTTATCAAGTAAAAGAACTGCAAACCAACCATGTCACAATTTTAGACGACAAAGTTGCATCCCGATTGGCTCTCGTAAGCAATCCAGTAGGAAAAATGGTATCCTGTACTATTGGCTTTATTCCGCGTATCGTAGACCGGCCTTAATGCGTTCGATCTATCGCAGCGCCCAAATGACACAAAATTATTCGACTTGCCTTGAAACTCGTCAATTGTCGCTGCGAGAAGGGTGACATTTCGTTTTAATCGGATCATGTGTCACGGAAAGGAAATCAATTCGCGTAGTTGAAATCAGGGTTGGGAAAGTTACTTTACAAAAGTAACTCGTTACCGCTACTCAAACACTCACGAATTGTCACTATCTTTGTTACTTTTTTCTTGACATCGATGCAATTAAATACAAGTTTCTCCAGTAAATATAAACAAAAGGTATAAGTAAAATTATATCCTCTAGTAAAAGGATAAGAAAACTGTCAGCTTAATTCGAGATCCACTAACGTACGGTTGCTGCTAGAAAATTTTTTAAATTGACATCGCTGTTAAAAATCCACTGACTACCGAGACATGTATGACATTGTGAATTTGCTGCCACAGACTCGTCAACTCGTTCTGTTTCGGCATAAATTAACTTGTTCAGTCAACATTAGATTGTACTTGAAAAAGACCCGATAAAGAGGTCGAAACGTCGTGACTTAAGATCACTTTTTGCCAGTCTGGTGGACTTTCTAAAAAATTTTCCCTTTGTTTAATTACCACTGGCGACAATAAGCTTCACTCAATTTGGCAAAAGGATAAGGTTCAAAATTCGACATATGCCAATATGTACGATTTAACTTTATTTAGTATTTTATAACTATATTAGGTATATATTGGACACATACATAATTTGTACTGCGATTGGTTTCTACACTTTTTAGTCAGCGAAGAACTACAGGCAAGACAAAGAACCAATCGTATTAAAGATCACTCAATTTGTTGTCTTCTGAATGCAACTAGTGAAAAGTGCGGTAAGGTAACGGTGAAAGTAACTACCGAAATCATTACCGTTACCGAAAAACTATAACTACGTTACCACGAACGTTGCAAATGAGAAAATGGGTGTTTTCTAGCAAGAGGCGCAGATTGACACAGTGTAACATGGAGAATCGTTTCATTCTTGCTTAGAAATAGTAAACACAAGATGAAGCGATTCATCGTGTCACACAGTGTCGCCTGTGTACGTTGCTGGAAAGCACCCAATGTCGTTATCCATTTGTTAGCAAAAAAATAATTATAACGCGTTACTTCCCAACCTTGGTTGAAACCCACTCTCGCTCCTAAATACTTTAAATATCGCTCGTGCGCAATCAGGCTGGCAGGACAACATCGGGTCTGTGTGCGAATAATGTTGTGACTTTCTATCATTGTGTTATATTCAGTACTACTGATCTGCGACGATTCTATGTCCAGTATTATTGATAAATTATGAACCGTTATGTTTTTACTGCTCGCCATCGAGTTTATTTTCTATGGGATCGGTGACCGTCGCGTTGCGTGCTATTCATCTCGTGATAGATTTCCTATTAGGCACGGTACATAACGCGGCTAAAATATTGCAGGAATATCCGAATCGAACTCGCTTCAAAGGGATGCTCCGAAATCCTTTCAAAATCCACCACTGTAAAAAAAAGAGAGATATTTCTGCGAGGATTTCTGTAATAAAAACAGACCTGACAGACTTCGGGACCAGTTTCTGGGTAAACATTTAAGCTCGTGTCTAAAGTGTTAAGGCCGAATCAGACTAGCAATTGCCGACTTGGATTGGATTGGGATCGGCGATTGCCGATTGTTTTCTAGCCAATCAGAGCAAAGCAGCCAGCGATTTAATCGCCAATCCCAATCTAATCAGAGTCGGCAATTGCTAGTCTGATTCGGCCTTTAACTACGTGTTGCGGATCGCGGATCGCATTTCAGTCAATCAGACGGGACAACTTCTGATCCAATTGGTTGAATTGCGGCGATCCGGAATTTCAATCCGACCCGCGATCCGCAACACGTCGTGTGACACGGGATTAACGCGGAGATCTTAGGAAATATTTAAGTGACGAACAATCCGGCCATTTGGCACTTTTCGGCAGTGCAAACAAATTGATTTTGTTTACCGACATTGCTCGAGCCTTTCTATGTCCGCAACTTACATCTTTTTTGGATAATTACACGATTCCGTTTTCGTACTTACTAATGTGAGCCAAGCAGGATGAACGCGAGAGTTTTCAAAGCGGGAATTCGAAGGTCCTTCGACAGGTAGTATTCGAGGGAGGAGTGAGGTCAACAAACTTGAATAATATAAGCTGCGTGACTATGCGACCCTTTTTTCCTTCTAGACCCTGTAACGGTTTGTCCTGCAGAAAATTAACTACGTCCTATGACAGATATTCTAAAAGATTCTTCGTCATCTCAGCTTTCCGAGCATCCTTTAGAGTTTCACACCTGAAATGACCGATGGCGCCTATGGTTAAACTTTTAAAACGCGAGGATTCCGTTTGTGGTTTCTTGTATTGTTTGGTATTCTTGTTACGAGTTGTACGACAATGTGAAAATTATTTTAGCACTCTTTGTTTGAAAGAAGGCAAAACTTTTTCAGGAGTGTTTAGTGACTTTACAAATACTTACTGAAAACTTGTCGACTCCCCAATGTGTCTACAGTTCACATTATGGTTGAGGTGTGAAATGAGTGATTGAGACAGTGGCAGGGTTTGAAATTACATAAATAAAATCGAAGATTCCTCATCGATATTTTTTCCTTCAAAATATTTATTGCTTGCCACTGAGCATGAATACTTTACAATCCCTGGATACGTAGAATATGTTTTGTACATTCACAATAGTGTTGAATTATTGCAAATATGTGCTTACAGTTTAATGCAATTTCATATCGAATAAATGAATGAGAATAACAATAAAATTAATAGCAAAGAGTTTATGAGCGTACGAACTGAAGTGATACTTGTGATAATTTTCATTTTACACCAATCGTTTTTACTTTTCTCTTTCTCTCTCTCTTTTTCTCTCGAGCTGCGTCAAAATACGAGCGTAGTTTCATTATGCGAATAAGAAAAATACAGTCTCCTTTCAGCAAATTATATCTCGCGATATTAAAATGACGTTAATTCGAATGTTTGTTGGATAATTGAAAGGAATGTGCTACTCCTGTATTTTTATAAAATTTTTAACGTAGGCATAAAATTTCTGTTATTGGAATTCTTTCACGAGAAAAATCCGGTTGCAACTCTAATATTGTGGCATGACGAGAATTCATTATACAATTAATTTATTTGATATTTGATATTATCATCGTAAGAATTTACTTAATCTCAGTTCCCGATTAATAAAGTTTTCCCGTTTTTGTAATTCCTGATTTTAAAAGTAATTTAATTGTCGCTAGTAACTTTCCATGATTAAACATTATTCAAATCGTTTTCGAATCGTTGAAAGTAAACGCTTAAAATTGATGTAGTTTTCATTACATTTTAGATTTCGTTACAGACATATAAAAGTAATTTTTATGAACGCGATAACCGATACAAAATACAAACTCGTATTTTCTCTCGCTGAAATTATTATTAAATTTTTAATTATAAATAATTTGTATCTTTCACAAGATATTTAATGTTTATATATGATGGTATAATAATTACACGTCTCCGATATCGTACGCATTTTCACGTGAGAGGAATTCGCTTTCATATTTCCTCTTCTCTGTCTGCTCGCAAAAAATACATTTTCTCTACAGAAAAAGACGTACAAGAGACATCGGAAGGGAAAATATCGGATAACTTGGTGATTTACGGACGTAACAAAACGACGGTATAAGAGAAACAGAGAGAAACAAAGAGATACATGAAGCTGGTATAATTTGGCTACTGTTCTAACTCGAGGATAGAAAAATGCGGGAACGATAATCCTTAGGTAGCGGTTAACTCTTTGCGTTCTGTCTTGCGTTCATCTACTAAACATAAAGAGAAGTTACGATACGTTAACGTACGTATACTTGCGATTTATTCGGATCCCATCTTAGCGGTCATAAAACTCGATAGCTCCTCCCAAATTTCATCATGTAGAAATTTTCGTAGGTCCCTTTTAAGACTTCCACTTTCTCGGTCGTCGCCGCTCACTCATCCTTTGCGTGTCTTCTTGAAGATATTTGTGATCGTTATTCCTGTGTTATTCTGTGCGAAAGAATACGCACAGA